GATAGTGTCCTAAGTGTACTTCTTGTTCCTCTCCTACTGAAAAGTGGATACTGTCATGGCGATCTTAACCTTGGATGCACCAGCTCTAAACAACCATGTTGAGTAGCATGTTACAATCTATTTCTTTGCGAAGGCTTTCACAGCCGGGATCTAATGGTTGTTGTGGGTTTTTCGGGCTCTTTGGATGTATTCTGAAGGTTGTTCTTCCTAACATTTTGCCAGTCTCTATGGCCGACATCTTCAGAGGACTGGAGTAGGAACCCAGTCCATGCTCTGAGTTCCTACACCAGTCCTCTGAAGATGTCGGCCACAGAGATTGGCAAAACGTCAGGAAGAACAACCTTCAGAACACAGCCAAAGAGCCCGAAAAACCCACAACAACCATTAGATCCCGGCTGTGAAAGCCTTCGCAAAGAAATAGATTGTAACATGCTACTCAACATGGTTGTTTAGAGCTGGTGCATCCAAGGTTAAGATCGCCATGACAGTATCCACTTTTCAGTAGGAGAGGAACAAGAAGTACACTTAGGACACTATCTTCCATTGTCACATTCAGGGGCACTGTAGATGGGGAGTTGCCACATTGCTCTCCCTCTGGCCTCTGATCCCATCCACAGCTGCTTAGCTTTTCCAGTGGATGTCTTATTCCTTCTCAGACTAGGTCCTAGTGCTTATCACAGGTATTTCAGACGCCGCAGTGGGTTTCCAGAGGCTCCAAGATTGTGCATGGCCTAGTAGCTAATCTAAGACGCTAACAGAGTTCAAGTCCCAGTTCTTTGATTTGTTGGGCAAACCTGGGTAACTTAACTTGGTTTCCTAAGCTTTATCCATATCTGCAAGTCACCTGCCATGGTTCCGTTGCCTTGAGGACTCAGTTTGGGCCTACGCTTAGAGCAAAACCAGGTGGTGGTGGTGGTTGTTAGATTGTGTCACATCAGAGTCTGGCTAACAGAATTACAGGCATATTTTAAAATGATCCCATATTTTTAAAACTTCTAATACGGAAAGCTACCACAGCCGGAAAAAGACTGTGCTAGAACTTTTTCTTCATATCATGGTGTCACAGTTTGTGGAATAATAAGAATTGGAATCCTGCCTTCTGGAAAGGTCGCCACTGCAACTCCACCGAGTTTGGATGCTTAAAGGCAAACCACAATAAGAACTTATGGGATTATGGAATCCTTAACTCATAGTTTTTTTTAATGAGAAATAAATGCCATGGTAGGGGGAGAGATCAGCAGGATGTACACCCTAGTACTTGCTCCTAGCTTTGGGTGGCAGTGCTGCACACTTAGTTAGGATTGTATCTCATTTCATCCTTTGGGTTACTTCTAAACAGACATATAGTATGTAAGAGCATACTGTTAATTTTTTTTTAAAAGGCATTCCTTGTGTAGAGGTATATGTAGCAGCTCCTGCCAACCTAGCAGTTCAAAAGCATGTGAAACTTTGATTCAATAAATAGGTACCATCTTGGTGGGAAGGTAATGGCATTCTGTTTCTAGTCGCGTTGGCCACGTGACCACGGAAACTGTCTACGGACAAACGCTGGCTCTATGGCTTTGAAACGGGGATGAGCACCGTGCCCTAGAGTCGGACATGACTGGACTAAGTGTCAAGGGGAACCTTTACCTTTTTATATGTAGCAGAGCTGTTATAAAGACAAGAGAAGACATCCTTGCCATCATTTCTTCCTCCTCAGCTCTCGTAGGGTGCTTTCGGGCACAGCTTCCTTTAGGGCTTGCATTTTCCATCCTAAAAGTCTGTGTTTCATAAAAAGGGTGAAAGATAGATCAAGCACCCCTTGACCAACCCATTTTCCAGTGTGGGCTGCTCTTCTACCCCATATCAGGAACCAATTATGATCTGGGCATCTCTGGCTAAGGTGGAGGTGGGTGTGTTTGTCTGTTCCATCTGCCAGTTTAGCCATAACCATCTGCCTAAGTTAGGAAAGAGTCTGCGCCAAGGGCATCAAGTGGAATCTGTGACTTTGCAGGGTATTGTCCTAGTCTTTCTGGTCTTGTTCTGATAATTGCTGTACCACATTTTGTGCTAGCTATAGTTTTATCATCCTGCTTGTGTTTTATGATCAGACTCCATAGTCCTGCTGTGTACCTGCTGGTAAATTCAATTAAGTTGACAAGTCATGAGAGGCAGGACCTTCTTGGTGGTGGTCCTGTAGTTTTTGAATTCCCTTCTGAATTAGTTTTCAAGAAGGTTTGCTGTGTTCATTGGTTTTACCCACAACAAAAGAAAGCAGAAGTACTGTATTGTGTCCCCCTTAATACTTACAGTGTTTCAGTGTAAACCTATTTCAATGTAAACTTTTGTGGGTGCAGCATACTTCTTGAGGTGCATGAAAATAATACTTAGCAGCACAAATTTATACGCAGGGTACATGAGACGATAATTGTTCCTTTTAAGTCAGTTATGCTTGCTTCCCTACAACAGAGACTTCAGATGTGTCTCCAGACGTGTATTTCTTCCAAGCTCGCTTTCCTGTGGGTTTGACTTTATGGGATTCTATAAAGTTTTTCAGAATAAAATAAGATCTTGTGGTATGACTTGGATCTACCACGGGCAAATGATATCTCATAGTAATGTATAGCAATATGATGTGTCTGGCATCTATATGAGTTTCTGAAGACATTGTTGTGAAAGTTGGCATGCATGTATGTTGTATGGCTGTATCACAGATATGGTTCACAAACAGCTGGTTGACATTGGGAAGTAAAGGGATTTATCTGCCAAATGTATCACATCCATTTCATTCAAGAGGCTGCTTGCTCCCAATGGGAGGAAAAAGTGAAATAAAGCAACAAGCTAAATTATCTTTGTTAAAGAGGAGTAGCTCTTTGTAAGAACATGTAGTTTTTCAAAGTGTCTTGTGTTCTTCTCTTCTGCTGACCATTCATCTATCGTGATTTCTTCTGCTTTTGAAAATGCTTTTTTCCCCACCCGTTATTATGGAAAATGAAGCAATTCATAATCTATGTGAAGAACTTTGAAAAGTTATTGGACTACAGTAGGGGATTCTGGGAGCTGAAGCAGAAGAAACTTTCCCAACTCTGAGTACAGCTTATGATTTGCTCTTCATTTATGGGAGTATGGGTGCTGCTTAACGTCTGGTTTGAAAAGAACTTTTGTTCCTGCAGTGTATCCTGATTTCCAGCAGATGTCAGAGTTGGCCTTCTTGACCTACCCCAAAAGTTTTATGTTTTAATAAGGAAAATCATAATGGCCCCTCAAGTCAATTATGACCCACAAAGGCCTTTTTCAGGATTTTTCCAGGTGAGAGTCCTCACAAGTAGACCTTCCCTTCTTCTGGGACTGTCCTGGGACTGTGCAGCTTACCGAGGAGTACACTTGCTGTTGTTTAGTGACTAAACAACTCATTTGTTGTTCTTTAGTCGTTGTGTCCGACTCTTCGTGACCCCATGGACCAGAGCACACAAGGCCCTCCTGTCTTCCACTGCCTCCCGGAGTTTGGTCAAATTCATGTCATTCGCTTCGATGACACTGTCCAGCCATCTCGTCCTCTGTCGTCCCCTTCTCCTCCTGCCTTCACACTTTCCCAACATCAGGGTCTTTTCCAGGGAGTCTTCTCTTCTCATCAGATGGCTCTGCCCTTCTTTGGGATTGGGATGTAGACTGATCTTTTCCAGACCTCTGGCCACTGCTGAGTTTTCCAAACTTGCTGGCATATTGAGTGTAGCACCTTAACAGCGTTGTCTTTTAAGATTTTAAATACTTCAGCTGTAATGCCTACACCTCCACTGGCCTTGTTGTTAGCCATGCTTTCTAAGGCCCACTTGACTTCACTCTCCAGGATGTCTGGCTCAAGGTCACCAACCACACTATCTGAGTTGTCCGGGACATCCAGATCTTTCTGGTATAATTCCTCTGTGTATTCTTGCCACCTCTTCTTGATCTCTTCTGCTTCTATTAGGTCCCTCCCATTTTTGTCCTTTGTCCATCTTTGCACAAAAGGTTCCTTTAATATCTCCAATTTTCTTGAACAGATCTCTGGTTTTTCCCTTTCTATTATTTTCCTCTATATCTTTGCACTGTTCATTTAAGAAGGCCCTCTTGTCTCTCCTTGCCATTCTTTGGAAGTCTGCATTCCATTTTCTGTAACTTTCCCTATCTTCCTTGCATTTTGTTTCCCTTCTGTTATCTGCTATTTGTAAGGCCTCGTTGGACAGCCACTTTGAACTTTCCGTTAACTGTTGGCCAGTGAAAAGGGTGCCTGTCTGCTTCCTCACTCCTCCCAGCATTTAGAGAGTGGATTGGGAGTCTTCAGACTGCCTGGTACTGCCTGGTACTGCCTTGACTGTATTTTCCCTGGCTTCCCTGAACCTTTCTTGACCTAAGAAAAAAAAGAAACAAAATATCCCCTTCTAGTGGTCGAAGGTGGAAGAGCAGCTTCCCATTAGTTTCTATGGACGGAAAAGAGCAGATACGGATCAAATGGTTTTCAATGCATTCCTATGGGAAATGCAGATTTGACCTGAGAACTTTTTGACTTGAGAACCGCCTTCCAATACGGATTAAGTTCTCAAGTCAAGACCCCACTGTACTTTCTTCAGTTTAAGCTTGGATTTTTATTATTTTTTATTATTATTATTTTGTAAGAAGCTGATGATTAGAGCCATAATGTGTAGCCTGCATAATTAAATTGTAAACCGCCCAGAGAGTGCTTGAAGCGCTATGGGGCGGAATATAAGCAGCACGCTTTGCTTTTTGCTTTGCTTTAAAGACTCTAAACTGCTGTATTAACTGGTATGTGAAAATAACAAATAATTTAGCATTTGCCCCCTACTCTCGTTGTTCTAGCAGTCCATTTTTCGTTTAGAATGTGCCTTTTATTTTGTCTCATTCCCAATGTTTGATTACAGGTCTCAAGCAGGAAGGTCTTTTTCGGGTGAACGGCAGCCTGAAAACAGTGGAGCGTCTGCGTGGGAAGTACGAGACTGGAGAGGATGTGGACCTGGCTGCGGAGGGCGATGTGAGCTCTGCTGCCAGTTTGCTGAAATTATTTCTCAGGGAGTTGCCAGACCGAGTGATAACGTCTGCAGCCCACTCCAAATTCATGCAGCTATATCAAGGTGATGGTAGCATATTGAACATATGTCTATACCTTACATCACAGGCTTCACTCTATACCTTTTCCTTGTCTGGATTTATCTTTAAAAAAAAAAAAGATTGCCCTTAACAGGACAGTTGCAGTTATCATTTGGAAAGCCTTGAGCACAAATGCATGTGTTACACATGTAAAGATTTCATGTTGCATTTCATGTGTGTGAGCAGGCATTAGGGACAACCCTGTCACCAGGTAGACACGTGCTGGGACCACGTCAGCAGATGCCCGTCCTGCCATGTCCCTTGAGTTTAATAAGCTAGCCTGCCCTAGCCTGTTGCTTTCAGATGTGGTGATGGGTGCTGCACAAGGTTAGGCTGCCAGTCAAATTGGGATCTGCGTGTAGATGGCATGGATGCAGTCGTATTTTTCACCTTACAACAAAATGTCTTGGGAGTGTTCCTGGTAAATATATATATACACTCCTTCATAACAAATTATATTATTGGATTAGATGCTCTGTTTGTTTGACTGCGGAAAGAGAAAAGATCTTGCACAAGGGTCGAGCACATGCTTTGCAGGCAGAAGGTTGCAAGGATTATTCCAGGTTTAATCCCTAGCACCACCAGCTAGGGCTGGGAAACATTCCTGTCTAGAAATGTAACTAGCGATTTTGGCACCGTCTCAGATGCTCTCTGCCATATGGCATGGACGTGAAATCCCACTTGTATGAAAATGGAGGAGGAGAATGTGGTGCTACCCTGAATGAAAGAGAAACTTTATGTTTTCCAAAAAGGGGAAAGGGTGTCACTGTTTATTTTCCTAATTTTTTGCCAGGAGAGTCACTGCTACATTTTGATGCCCTGGGGCAAAATCCCTGTTATCCTGCCTGCCCTAGTTAGAGCCCTGTTTTGAGTGCAGGGTGGGGTAAGCTGCCCCACTTCAAACAAGAGGTTCCCCATGCTGATGATGGCCTGCTGAGATGGCCTCCTTACCCCTCTAGTGGTCTTCTGTGTACCAGGAATTGCATCATGGCAGAGATACCACTGCAGCCATCACCACTGCAGATGGTGACAGCAGCCACGAAATTAAAAGACGCCTGCTTCTTGGGGGGAATGCGATGACAAACCTCGACAGCATCTTAAAAAGCAGAGACATTACTTTGCCGACAAAGGTCCGCATAGTCAAAGCTATGGTTTTTGCAGTAGCTATGTATGGAAGTGAGAGCTGGACCCATAAAGAAAGCTGACTGCCAAAGAATTGATGCTTTTGAATTTGGGTGCTAGAGGATGCCCTTGAGAGGCCCCTGGACTGCAAAGAGAACAAACCTATCCATTCTGAAGGAAGTCAATCCGGAGTGCTCACTGGAAGGACAGATCCTGAAACTGAGACTCCAATACTTTGGAGAAGACTCCCGGAAAAGACCCTGATGTTGGGAAAGAGTGAAGGCAAGAGGAGAAGGGGATGACAGAAGATGAGATGGTTGGACAGTGTCATCAAAGCAACCAACATGAATTTGATAAAACTCCTGGGGGGCAGTGGAAGATAGGAGGGCCTGGCATGCTCTGGTCCATGGGATCACGAAGAGTTGGACACGACTAAACGACTAAACAACAAGAAGAGATACCTAATTCTCACTCAAGTTGGGAAGTTAGGTGGGTCTGGTAACAGCAAACGTAGGAAGAGAGATAACATAAATGAGTGGCTTTATTTTGCTCTGACATAATTCTTGAGAACATGGGGATCCAAGACTGCCCCATTTCAGACTGTATGTGGGGTTCATATAAACAGGGTGACCATCTATACAAAAATAAATTTAAAAACATGTCCGCCTAGAAAACAAACTGTTAGACAGAAGGTTTACCTAGATATCTTCCCAAACAGCCAGTTTCCTATCTACTGGTACTGCAGAAAAGTTTTGTACAGGGCATGATTTAGTTATTTCGTCCAGACACAGTTTCATCCCTACAGTGAGAATTAGACTGTTATATTCAGACAAAAGATGCCACTCTTCTTTTTTTGCGTTGTGTTTGTTCTGTGCTGTCAATTCAGAACCGACCTATACTAGAGACTCCTTTCGAGGTAAATGAGATATTTAAGGAGTGGTTTTTTCCGTTCCACTCCCCAATATGGTTTCCATGGCCAAGTGGGGATTTAAACCCCGGTCTCCGGAGTCCTACTCCGTCACTGTATCCACATCACCACACTGGGAATCCACCTTTGTTCTGTCACAACAGGTTAAAAAGACAGAATAGATTCATTGCCGGCTTTTAACTTTGTAAAATGCTGAGTATTTCGTGATGAGAGGGGAAGCAGCATCTGGCAGAACAGAGCTTTGCAGACTCAAAACTGTGCCCGTCTGCTGCCGTAGGCTGTTTCCTGGTGAGGTTCTTTTTCCAACACTTCTTGTTCTGGGGGTTGTGCTTTGATAAGATCAAGGTTAGCCAGGAAGAAGAAGAATGGGGCACTTGTTTGCAGCCCTACAGGTCCCAGATACGTATTGCTTGATGAAAGCACGCAAATATCTGTTTTGTATTGGAAATAATCTCTAGCGGAGGAGTAATTACAATATGAGATCTGTGCTCCTGGGCTGTTTACAGATAAAACAAGTGGTGATTCAGAAGCAGGTTAAAGGGCCTGACAAAGTCTTTGTTATGTCACAGAGTCTGGGGTTTTAAAAGTATTAGAGTGGCTTTGGACATTATGAGAAGATACCGCCCCGAGCCACAGTTTGCCGTCATGATAACGTCATCATATCTTATGAGGAGGTTGCATAAAGAAGATGTTTAGGCTCTACTGTACCAGGATTCTCACCTATGTTGATTTATAACCCCTTTAGTCCCCTGTCCCCGCCCCTAACCCTATAAAATAAAATAAGCTTTAAAAAAGAGAGAAGTTGTTCAGGCTGATTTGCTGCTGTGAGTTCATGTTTTCCTACTATTTCCTGAAAGAGAGAAGTACAAAAGGAGGCACTCACATACTAGTAAAAATGTTATAAAACTCTTCTCAAATTGCCTCAGGCTTTAAGAGATGGTATTGCCTCATTTTCTGTTACCACCTCAGCTTCAGATAGTGTTTGGTCATATCCAAGAACACCCCAAATTGACTTCCTGCCCTGGAAAGGGCAGTTGCTGTAGCCTTATTGTTCTCTTTTTTAGCCCATTTATCACACGCTAGTTGGAAATCCTGGTTTCTGTTGTAAATAAAGCCTTTGAAACACTAGCAATGAGCCCAGAAAGTACTAGCAAGGAATTCAAGACAAAAGTTACTTTTTGAGATTACAGCTGTCAGAATCCCCTGCCCAACATGGCTAGTTAAAATAAAAATCGTTAAGGCAAATATTTACCAGTGTCAGTGGATTTTGGGATCTGTAGGTCAAAATACTAACTTTTCCAAATTGTTATCTCGGCAGGATTATTCGCCACATTCAGATGGTCCCATCTTATTTTATTGAGCCAGATTTTTCAAACTGGTTACCCTTGCATTTTGATGAATTATATCCTCTCTGCCCACATGGCCAGTTTTAGTTTAACACATGTTGAAGGTATCCTGCTTAGAAATGTTGTATGTATCTAAAAGGTTCTCTGGTTGAAGGACCGCTTACTCCTTATTTAAAGAGCCTTGTGGCGCAGTGGTTAAACTGCACTACTGCAACCAAAACTCTACTTACGAGATGGGTTCTGTCCCAGGTAGCTGGCTCAAGGTTGATTCAGCCTTCCAGCCTTCTGAAGTTGTGTTGTCTGCATAATTGAATTGTAAACCAGGCTCAAGGTTGATTCAGCCTTCCAGCCTTCTGAAGTTGTGTTGTCTGCATAATTGAATTGTAAACCAGGCAGAGAATGCTTTAAGTGCTATGGGGCAGTATATAAGCAGCATGCTTTGCTGCCCCCCCTTTTTTTCTTTTTGGTCTTTGGAGTACTGTGGTCAGTCTAGATGACTCAATAGAGGAGTGACCCAATGTAATGTCATTTCATATGTATTTAGTTATCAAGTTGGGCATTCCAGAAAGAAGTACGTTCTGCTTTACCACCTCTAAGCATTGAACTCTGTAGTTTGTTTCTCTGCATGTTTTCTTGGCAGTTGACTAACCAAGTGGTACTTGTGTGGTTTATGTATGGATATGTACTATGTGGGCAGATAAAATGAAATTTATATTAAGAATGCCCTAGATCGTGTTGTTGGCTAGTAAGTACACTATACCGTTTTTTTCAAGGTGAATTTATTACTAATAATTACTACGAAGACTTTGTTACACATGGTAAAGATCCAATTTTATTTCATAAGGGAAGCTTGTTTTCTGGAAGTTTACTTGATTAGAAAATACCTAATTACCTGAAGCTAATTGCCTCTCACCATTTCCTGCTGACACTTGGTACTTTTCCACTTTAACAAAGGCCTCCCTCCCCACCATGGAAAACGTTAATCTTTTTCAGGATAGAAGCATTCAGTAGTGAAGCCAGCTCTAATCTGGTTGGCACCAGAAAAGTCTTTAATTCAGCTAGTCTACAATGTTGGCAATCTCTAATAAGCACGATGGGAGTTGTAGTTCTGCACACCTGCAAGTACAACAAGTTTGAAGAACGCTGGATGCACGAGTCCAGTTTTTGGGGATCTAATACTGCCATGTTTTTCCAATTTCTCATTTAGCTTCAACTTAGAAAAGTTAATTTTTAGACCACGGTTCTCACAGTCCTTGGTGGCAGGGGAGCGTAGTAATATCTAAATATTTTTTTTCTGTGTATTCTTGGAAAAGACTGTCTTTTCCATCTATCTTTTTTCTTCTTCTTTACAGACAACAAACATTATGGTCTGAATGCAAATATTCTGAGGGAACTCGTAAAGCAGCTGCCCGAGTCCCACTATTGCCTGCTTAAGTACCTCTGCCAGTTCCTAAGGAGAGTTTCTGAGCATCACCTTGAGAACAAGATGAATATTTCCAACCTGGCTACAGTTTTTGGACCAAACTGTTTTCAGTAAGTTCCTTGCTTAAGTTTAATGCAGAAAGTAGGCCAAAGTACAGAGGTTAGGCGTGGACTGTTTAATGACTAGCCAGATTGATTCATTAGAGCAAATATTTTTTATAGACCTCATCCAGTTATGGGTGTATAGTTGAAATCGAGAACAAACAACGTTTAATTTTTAAATCAAAAAGCAATGTTAAACCTCAAGGTAATGAATGGGTCTTCTTTTTAAAGAACATACGGTTTTGAGCTCTCAAAATTTGTTGCTATAAGACGTGGCCGTTCAATTTGGCTAAAACAAATTAAAGCAGGAAGGCTGTTTGCAATAAGTTAATTGCTTAGGGTGGGGGTGAAATAGTTGTCCTCAGATTTGCTATTTTTCATTCCTTTTTTATGGATTCATGAGCTGTTGCCATATCTGTATTCCAGACATTTTTCTACATTATATTTCTAGCCCCTCGAGGTCTACAGCAAGTGAATGTGTGAGCTGATTATGTTGAAAAGCATTGTGTAAAAAGGCATATAAATGTCTGACTTGTGGTGTTGCCTCTGTGATGTCACTGACATATGCAAATCACTATTGGCTTCTGCAGTTATTGAGATTAAAAATCCCTTTGTGGGCAAGTTTCAAATCCCCGACAATTTGTAAGCTTCAAAACCTCTTCTGCAATTCATGGGTTTGTCAGAAACTGAAGCTTGAAATATTTTAAATTGGGGGATTGTGTGGGAATATACATCTTGAAAGAAACCGCAGTAATGAATCATTACACTCAAGCAAAATAGTATCTTAAACTTTTTTGAAAATGCACAGGCAATTTCCTTTACGACATGTATTCTTTGCATAAATATTGCGTCGATGCTATATGGTTTTCTCAAATGCTGTCGCTGTTTGTTGAAATTTAAAGAGATGTTGGTTTTGTGGTATGTGGTGTTCAGTAGATGCTGCAGTAGACCTGTCAATATTTTGTGTATGTTGACCAAAATCCTTTGAAGAAGAACAGTAAAGATCAGTGTATTTGCATAAGGGGTTTCTCCTTTTTCTCTGGCTTCTACCATGTGATCAGATGTGCAACTAGAAAGTTAGACAAAGCATGATGCACAGCTTCAAAATAGGCAGGATTGCTTGTGCTATTGCCCTTACACAGTTACGCAAGACAGTTCAGTGGTTGAGGTATCTGTCCTCCGAGACAGCGGCCGTGAGTTCAAATCCCTACTGTGCCTCCTTGACAGGAGCTGGACTTTATGATCCATAGGGTCCCTTCCACCTCTGCAGTTCTAAGACGTTTCTGGCCTCTAGGTCTCACCTTTCAGTCTTCTTATTTTATTCAGGATTTGAAAGTTGCCTCTTTGGATTACGACTTCCAGAATATCACGGCATGGCTGGTGGATTTTGAGAGTTGTCGTTGTAGCGGCTCTGCCCATTGGGCAGGATAAAAATTAAATAAATAAATATTTTGCCATCTGGGCTCATCCTGAGAGGACAAGACTCATGGAAAACGAGAGGAATGCTGAGAAAGGTTGAAGGCAACAGGAAAAGAGGCAGACCAAATAAGAGATGGATTGTCTGAATAAAGGAAGCCCCAGCTTTCAGTTTATAAGAGCTGAGCAGGCTTCTGGCCAAGGGGTCTTTCTGGAGGTCATTAATTAATGGAAACACCATAAGTAGGAGGTGACATGATGGTATATAATAGCAATAACAGTCCAATAAAAAAAGTTCTTCCATTCTTTAATTTGGGCGTGTTAGAGCCTACACTAAGGGATGTGGTGGCGCTGCGGGTTAAACCGCAGAAGCCTCTGTGCTGTAAGGTCTGTAGATCTTCAGCTGCAAGATCGAATCCACATGATGGAGTGAGCGCCCATCGCTTGTCCCAGCTCCTGCCAACCTAGCCATTTGAAAGCATGCAAATGCGGGTAGATAAATAGGAACCACCTCGGTGGGAAGGTAACAGTGTTCCGTGTCTAAGTCGCACTGGCCATGTGACCACGGAAGATTGTCTTCAGACAAAACTCTGGCTCTATGGCTTGGAAACGGGGATGAGCTCCGCCCCCTAGAGTCGGACAAGACTGGACAAAAAATGTCAAGGGGAACCTTTACCTTTACCTAGAGCCTACACTGGCCATCATTACTTGGTGGCACTCTCCATATCTGATAGTGTAAAAACTCTGATTATTCCCAAGTGCTATGGCCAATGTCCAACACAACTTTAGGGCTGCAGGTTGCACACAGTGGGCCTGCACATTGCATCCAGATGTTCCTAATACTCTTTGCCCTTGGGAGTCCACATTTGTTTTAAGTCCAGTTTCACAGCGTCCCTGTACACAGGATCTCCATAACTGGTCAAGTAGAAGACATTCTTCTTATCTGTTGGAAGAACAGGATCAATACTGGGCCTCGTGGTGCAGTGGTTAAACCGCTGTGCTGCAGCCAAAACTGTGCTCACGACCTGGGGTTCAAATCCCAGGTAGCCGGCTCAAGGTTGACTCAGCCTTCTATCCTTCCGAGGTCGGTAAAATGAGTGCCCAGCTTGCTGGGGGGGGGGGAGGCAATGTGTAGCCTGCATAACTAACTTGTAAAACCGCCCAGAGAGTGCTTGAAGCACTATGGGGCGGTATATAAGCAGCACACTTTGCTTTACTCAAGGGAAGAATATGTATTTTGCTATAGAGATTTCCAGGTGCAATTCTTGTCCTCTCTTAGACAAGGATCTTAGACAAGTGGGACTAACAGAGGAAGCAAACAGCTTGGAAAAATTAACCTTTTGGAAAACAGGTACTGTACCAGAATCCTCCAGTCAGCCTTGACACTGGCCGCAATGGCTGGAAGGTTGTTGCAACCGAAGTCCAGAACAGTAATTTTTCCAGGCTCTAAGAAAGATCTTCCATCTGCAAGACTGGAGAGCGGTTGCCTTCCAGACTGTTGGTTACTTACAGTATCTATCTGCCAGATACCTTTCCAGTGGTTGTTTACTTATCAAAGATGCAAGAACAGTCAAGGGCAAATTTCTCAGATAGTTGAATGTGACATGTTCACATTTGGCGCACCTACTTCCTTGTCACTGATTTTGCTGTGCTGGTTGAGCAGCCAAGCATAGAGAGGGAAATAGCACAGCAAAATATTCTGTAATTAAAAAACACACTCTTGCTAGGAGAGTTTAGACATGGTGTTGGTTTGGACATATGTTTATAATATAAACTTTATACAGTGGTGCCCCCCTAGACACTTACCCGCATGAGGTCGAAATTGCTTTACGATGGTTCCAATGGGTTTTTTTCGCTTGAGGTCGATTAGGAGCCTGCTTCGTGAACCGTTTGTTCGCTAAACAATTATTTTTCTGGCTCCGCAAAATGGCTTCCCTTCATAAAATGGCTTCCCTCCCTTAGCAAAATGGCTGTTTTCCGGACCTCTGCTTCGGAAGACATCAATTTTAAACAGCTGATCGGCAGTTCTCTATGGAGGATCTTCGCAGGACGATGAGGTATTTCCCCCATTGGAACGCATTGACCAGTTTTCAATGCATACCAATTGAGGTTTTTTTCCCCCCCGCTTTTTTCCCCCGCTTGATGACGATTTCGCTTAACAGCGATTTTCCTGGAACGGATTATCATCGTCAAGCGGGGCACCACTGTATTAAGGACCAAACTGAGGTGATTTATAGCTTGGCTTGTGCATTAAAGCTGTACTCCTGCTGTGGTTATTCAGTGGTTAAGTGTGTTTATTTTAAAATGGCTCCAGTATTTATCTCCCCTTTTTATAAATTCATTTGTAGAATTTAAAAACAATGGGGAGCTTCTCATGGGGCAGGTATTTCGGTTTCTCCTGCCGTATGGCAGTGTGACCCTTTGTTAGTTGTGATCCTTACAACGCACACCTTTGTCTTGCCTGTGAGATCCTCTGACTGTGGTGTCACTACTCATTCTGGAATTAAGCAGACAGCTAAAAGCAACTGCACATTGAACTGCCCCCAAATCAGGCACTCAGATCTCCTGTTGCATCACCATCTGGCACACCCTGCAGTTAGATGTTGAGATGGCTGTGGTGTCATCGATGACAGAAAGCAGTGGGTGTTTCCCTGACTTCCACCTCGGATGTTATCGTTCATAATTCTGGGTGGCATGGATGCCTCCCATCTACTGTATCTGCCCTACATGATTTGAAAAATGAAATGAAACAGAAGTGACATTGTAATGTTCCATTGTATACGTTCCCACCCCCAGTAGAATTTAAGAACCTGAGAGGGAAAATGTGATCCCCCACAGAGAAAGCAACCTTCTCTCTGTATTCTCTGTGTCTCTTGGTATTCAGCCACCCTCAGGCATTTGGGAGACCACTCCCAACCAGGAGAAAGATGTGTGAGAGAAAATTGGCAAGCCCGCAGCGTTTCAGAAATTATGACATGAAAAAAGAACGCCCAGAGTAGAGTGCTTGCTGTTTGTATATGTGAGGGAATCCACTCCGCATCCCTTGGTCTGCTTGTGATTGCTTTTATGGATCCAAAGTCCATACTTTGGATGTTATTTTTCTACGGAGTAAGGGAAGACACTTCAGAAGTCAAAACCATAAACAAAAACTAGCAAGAATAAAATAAAATTAGAAGACCGTTGCTGCTCATCCTGTTATTCACAAATGTCAGAATGACAGTCCTGCAAAAGGCGGGAAGTGATTGAGAATAAAGTAATCAGTTGTCCCCACTTTTCCATGTTCTGCATGGGAAAAGGGGTGCGTGTGGGGAAGAAGGAGGCTGCCTGCTTCATATCCCTGGAACACACTTTGTGGAAAGTAGTGGGGAAGGGTGGGGAAGACCTTGGCCAGTTGCTCCCTGCTGACAGTCCTCTGCATAGCAGGTTACAGTGCAGAGATGGGAAATGTATATGGATTTCCAGATTAGGAGCTGGGAAAGTTTACTTTTTAAAATGGCAGTTTACAGAATGCTTCAGCCAGCAAGATTGATGGCCATGCTGGCTGGGATGTTTTCACTGAGAATCTTGGTTAATATGTGTTCTCAGGACATAGGCAGAGTTAGGAGATATCAGGTTGCGTAGACACTATAACACTGAGACAGTAAAATACAGTGGTGCCTCGCTTAACGATTACCCTGTTAAACGATGAAACCGCTTGATGATGAGGTTTTTGCTGTTGCAAAACGATATTCCAATAGGAAAAATTTGCTTCACGCTGATGGGTTCCCTGCTTCGAGAAACAATTTTTCGCTAGGTGACGTTTTTAAAACAGCTGATCGGCAGCTCTAAAGTGGCTCCCTGCTGTGTTTTCAGATGGATTCCTCGCTATACAGGCACTGGAAAATGGCCGCCCTATCACCCATCACTGCACGATGAGGTATTTCGCCCATTGGAATGCATTGAATGGTTTTCAATGCATTTCATTGGGCTTTTTCATTTCACTTGACCAGGATTTCGCTTAACAGCAATTTGAACGGAACAAATTATCCTCGTCAAGCGTACCAGCTTAGTCTATTAACACGTATACAGAGAGAATAGACATGCATCTGGCAGTATCACGTGACATGGTACAATACAAAGCATAGGAAAAATTGGTTTGACTTACAGCAGATAAAATGTCCCATTTATTCATGACTTGTATACATTCTTGGGACCAATCAGAAAATACATTAGTTAATTTTCTACTTACATAAGATTACATCATTTTCTACAGCTGTACAACATCAAGTCCTTAAACCTTGGTACCCACACCTGAATACATTCAGTATATGACTCAGGTAAAATCAGCCATTTTACTTTCACTATACAACATTTATATTTGATACATTTTGTGATCAAAATCTGAACAGTTTGGGGAGGTGTTATTCGGAAGACTCTTCTTCAATCTGTGCTCCAGCTATTATAGGCCTGCATCTTCCGGCAGCCCTAGTTAGTAGAGATAGTGATGATGAATTGTGGAAGTACAATAAAGTTTGAAGAGCCACACATTCGCCATCCCAGCAGTAGCGATATGTTTATAAGCAGTGCTCTCAAATCAGTCGTTATTCTTTCCAGTCTTGGGGCCACCTTCAAAACCCACCTACAATAAGGAACTCATTTGTAATACTGTATATTTTTTAAAAAAAAACCTTCATGTTTCATGGCCGTTCTTGGTAAACCTATCATCCTACTTTATAAGTCTTCTGCCTCTCTTTAATGAGCTATATATCCCAAGGAAGGCCTTGGGTCATCAAATTAAAATCATAAGCCTGTCCCTTCCATCATAGTTTCACATGTGCTTCTGTTGAAAGAGGAGATGCAGAACTAGTGTATATAAAACAAACAGAAAGAAATAGCTATTGTCACAGCCACCAAAATTGTGGGCGACTAATTCATTCTTAAGCAGCTACAGATGTTTGGCCCACAGCTAAGTCAACACATCTAATGGAGGTATTCTGGCTGTGTCTAGGCACTCAGAGGCAGCCACTGCCCTCAAGCATCAGATTTTGCAGTACCAGTGTATTTTTGCCATCTATCCATGGCATTGAGCCACATGAATTTTAATGTATGCTCATCTCCAAATCATTGCCCCTCTCAATTTCCTTGGTTGTGGCACTGGCGTGAGAGGATGGACTGGAAGCTTCTTTGAAGTGGCATATTTTCTCCCCACTTGTACTCTGCAAGGAGCTGTCCATGGAGTGCTCATGGTGTTGATGATGAAGATGAGGCTTGCTGGGTCTCAGAGAATGAGCTGCTGTACCAGGAAATCACTGGGCTCCCCTGAATCTCCAGGCCAGGCAAACAAATGTGAGGAGCAATGGTGGAAGGGAAGGAGCGAGTCTCATTTATTGTTACTGGGTGGCCATAGTGTTTGGGTACCCAACTCCAACCCTCTCCGAATGGCACCCAGGCTCACTGGCTTCCTGTGTCTGTCCAACACGACACATAATATATTTGCTTCGGAGCTGAGACAGGGAACCCACAATGCCTAACTCACTCCCTCACACATGAATGGAGAAATATTATGTTCCCAATTCCTGTGACATCACAAGGTCCCACACCATGACTTCACAAAGACCCACCCCAGGCATTGGGGCCTAAATATAAGGAGGGGATGGGTAAGATAATCCCGTGACAGCCCCCGACAAACAAGACAACACTTCAAAACCATTCCAGAAAAATTCTTTTATTGGTTTTGGAAAAGAGGCTAAACGGGTATCTTCAGCGGAGATAAGGGCCTGATTCCGCTCCAGCAGGATGCCTGCCTTCTGGTCCCTCGCTTCCCCCTGGGGAAGAGGAAGCTTCGGGCCTTGCAAGAAAAAGAGAGAGAAAAAAACAACTAAGGGTTGAGCTCGTCCACTGCTGTCAACCAGCTTCAACCCAGGCATATCCACCGACCAATGTTCCGGCAACTTCATCCTGAAGTTCCGCCTGCCAACATCCACTGGCTTCCACCAGGAATATCCACCCATTCATAGGGTTGCCAGATGTCAGGCAAAAGGAGGACATGTCCCCCTTTTTAGCCTAATGTCCTCCGTCCGGCAGGCAAAGATAAAAACGTTTCAAATTTCAGGCTTTTGTATATTTTATGGTATAATTTTGGATGGGAGGGGGAGAGCTGGAAGGACAATTGGCTGTTTAAATAATGTTTTTTGGTATTTTGAAAAAAAGCCTCAATTGAATTTACAGTGGTGCCTCGCATAGCGAGGTTAATCCGTTCCGGATTAACCTTCGCTATGCAAAAACATTGCTAAACGGGAATAAAAAAGCCATAGAAACGCATTGAACTTGGTTCAATGCGTTCCTATGGCTTTAAAACTCACTGTTAAGCGATGTTTTTCCATAGCGCCGCCATTTTCGCACCCTCAGTAAGCGAGGGCAGGGCGCGAAAATGCGGTACGGACCTTCCGGCGGCCATTTTGGAACCGCCGATCAGCTGTTCTCCCTGCTTCGTTCTGCGAAAATCGCTAAGCGAATTGCTTAGCGATCATCGCAAAGCGAAAAAACGCTATAGGGGCCATCGCTGAGCGAACGCTCCAGCGATGGCCCGGACCCCCTCGCTATGCGAATTCATCGCATAGCGAAGCGCTCGCTAAGCGAGGCACCACTGTATTCTAAAAATTGCCATCTGATATTATTTCAGTTAAAAGCCTTCTGGAACAGGAAGGTTTTGACCTGGCGCCGAAATGTCATCAGCGTTGTCGCCAGACAAATCTCAGTCGGGAGGGCATTCCATAGTCTGGGGGCAGCTGCCAAAAAGGCCCTTTCTCTACAAGCCCTCCCTCTTATCTCCTTAAGGGATGGCTCTTTCAAAAGGGCTCCCTGGTTAGATCTTAACTGCTGGGTAGGTTCATATGGAAGGAGGCGGTCCTTCAGGTATCCAAATATGGAGCTGTGAATCAAAATATCCTGTGTTAAATCTCAAATCTGCCATGAATTCTGGAGTGCCGTATTCTCTCAACCCCCATTTGTAACATACAGATGATAATACAGTCCTAAGTTATGGGGGAGTTGTGTGGATTCCTATAGTATGTATATTAATACTTGAGAAGTTCCACACAGTATATAAATGAGAAGTGCTATTATTTCCCTATGTCTTAAGGGTGACCTTTGTTGATTCTAAAAACAGCTATATACAACATCCAGAAAGTGCAAGCAAACCACGAGATATTCTCTGTTGCTCAATAACTGTGGGATCAGCCTTCCTTTTTCAAGACCTTTATCTTACCATATTACCTGCTGTGAACCATCACGCTGCAGTAGAGAATACAAAGTTAAAAGCTTGCTTAAAGTAAAGAATGAAACAAAATTATTTCCCGGCTGAAAAATTGTAAATCGATCACAATTTCAGGCATGAATTGAATGATGCCTAAAGTCAGCATGTCTGTCAAGTTATCAACCCGTAGCATGCTTTTTTAAAGAAACTTACCACTCTGCATCATAATTGACACATAATCTAATCTTTTCTCACCTAGGGTATCGGGATCGAGATCGGGATCGTTATGATTCAGATCGATACCGTGATGGCCCCCGAAGAGATATGGACCGTTTTGGGGGTCGGGATCGCTATGATGACCGTAGAGATTATGACAGAGGAGGTACTGTGGGTTATAGACTTCTTTATGTTTCTGGGGATTAAATGGAATCTCTCCTAATCCTTTCTGTCTCAATAACTGTTTGCACTGCTATACTGTGTAGCTTCCATTTCCCCTTTCCATATCTTGTATGCAAGTGAGTGGAACGTGGAAGGTCTTCCTCCTTTGAAGGTGAACCTAACTGGAGTTGCAATGTGCGTTAAAGAGAGCTAGTGTGGAATTTATTTTTCCCCTCCTAGCAAGGTCATTTTGCTTCTGTGTTTCCAAGATTAGCTGTTACCTTTCTGAGAGCCTACAGGGGTCAAGAAATGTTGAGGTCTTATTTAAATAAATGCAATATGAACAGCTAATGCTCGTCACACCTTCTCCCACTCTGTCATATTAGTCTCACAAATACCATTATGATTCTACTGAGGTTTTTGTGGTGTGTTTTTAAAATTTTGTTACTTGTAAGGTTGGTAACTTTGGTTGCTATACAAAATCAATTCAGTTGTTGCTCTAATAATGGAAATAGTGTTGCTCTGTCTTCTGCATGGTGCATCTTGCTCATTCTTCACTGCATCATTGTCAGTTGGGTGATATTACATTAGTATAGAAGAGTGAAAGACTAGGCTTTTTACTGTATTAATAAAGTTTTACTTTTGGCAAGGTTTTGAACTGAAATAGTTTTCCTGAAATTTTTCTATAGAGCTGTGTATAATGTTCTGCAAGTTATATTGTGAATTCCTCCTGAAACCTTAGATGTGTCAGTGCTGTCTCTTTTTGCTTAGCAGCTGCTTGGTTAAGGATTGTATGCCTGTGTTGATTGCATATAGATTTGCCTTTGAGGGAAAGCACTTTTTTTGATGTATGTCTCTTTTGATCTATGAGTCTGTTTTGATTCCTGAGATAGCAATCTGTGGTGCTGTCCTCAACATTTCCCTGAGGGATAGCCATGTTCCTCTGTTGCAGCAGAGTGAGGGATTCTTGTTTAATAGAACCTTAAATACACTTGTTCACCCTTTAAGCTACCGCTGCTTCCTGTTGTTCACAAACCAGTATAATATCCCCTCTCCTACAGGCTTCGATTCAAGGTCAGGCAGTGGCAGGAGGGCTTTTGGTAGTGGATACCGCCGGGACGATGATTACAGGGGTGGTGGTGATCGCTATGAGGATCGTTATGAGAGGCGGGATGACCGGATGGATCGGTGGAGCAGCTCACGGGATGACTATAGCAGGGATGACAGTCGACGGGATGATAGAGGTAGGTCCTGTGTTTGCTTAGTGGCAAGAAAAGGAGATGTATTGGTTTGTGCTGCTGTCATTATGTGTTACTGGAGAGCTTTCTTCCATCCCTTCGTGTTTGTTGTTTTCTAACATGGGTAAAAAGAGCCATCTTGAAATTAATCGTAAACCAGGTGTGGGAAGTCTCCTGAGGTTGAGGACCAGGTTTCACTTGGGTCAATATCTTGTGGAGAGCTGTACCCCTCCCCAAAATCCACAGCATGATCCCTCATCCATAATCATCTTCTATTTATTTGTTTACATTGCCTCTCCGGTGCATATAGTACCCAGCTAGGCCCATGAAAACACTGGGTTAAGGAAAAAGTATACATTAGTCAGCACTTTTTAAAAAAAATGATATGTAGCAGAATCATACGATTTGTTGATTCCTGTTGGCATTTGATTCTTGTTGTGACTCTTCTTCGCTTTAGCATGTTTTTGAAAGGGGATTGGACAGATTCCTGGAGGAAAAATCCATTGCAGGTTACAACCCATGATGGGGATGTATAGTCTCCAGGCTTCAAAGCGAGGTACCTCCAAATACCAACTGCAGGGGATGGTATCAGGAGACAGGTATCTAGTTGTCTGGTGTGCTGCCAGAGGCATCTGGAGGGGCCACTTTGAGATACAGGGAGCTGGACTAGATGGGCCCTTGGCCTGATCCAGCTGGGCTCTTCTTATACGTTCTTATGTTCTTAAGGAGCTGAAATTCTCAAAGCTTCCCAGTATAATATTAATAATATACCGTATTTTTCACTCCATAAGACACACCTTTCCATAAGACGCACCCATTTTTAGGAGAAGAAAACAGGAAAATATAATCTGTTTTCTTCACTCCATAAGACGCACAGACTTTCCACCCCCCTGTTTTGTGGGGGGAAAGTGTGTCTTATGGTGCGAAAAATACGTTAAGCATATTCAGTGTTAACACCTCTAGAATAAAACATTAATAATGTTGTACTTCCTGTCATTGGAAAATGGGATACATGTGATTGTGGAATTCATAGAATCAAAGTATCACAAAACAATTGAGTTGGAAGGAGTGTACAAGGCCATGAGGAAAGCACCCTTAACTCTAAATATTTTAAAGATGATGAAGGTGTGGGGGAGGAGGCATGGAGCCATTGGAAGCATTGCAGGGGCGCTCCTGTTCTCCCCTGACAGTGTCATCGAAGCAACCAACATGAATTTGACACAACTCCGGGAGGTGGTGGAAGACAGGAGGGCCTGGCGTGCTCTGGTCCATGGGGTCACGAGGAGTTGGACACGGCTAAACGACTGAACACACACATTTTCATTACAGCTGATGTTGTAGGCAGGTGGCCCAACTGTCTTGTTCTTCGGGCCCTATATTTTAGGTCAATTCCCATTGACCCATTTGCTGGAAGAACTTGCTTTGCAGTTAGACATTTGCAACATGTCTACTCAGAGTCCAACTGAGCTGAATGGAACATACCGGTGAGTAAGGTGAGCTGAATGGAACATACCGCTGGGTAAGGTATGAAGGTTTTTCTTCCTAACGTTTTGCCGGTCTCTGTAGCTGGCATCCTCAGAGGACAGGAGTTAGAACTCCTTCCCTTCTGCCAGCCACAGAGACTGGTGAAATGTTAGGAAGAAAAACCTTCAGAACACGGCCAAACAGCCCAAAAAACCTACAACAACCATAGGATCCCAGCCATGAAAGCCTTCAAACTACAAATGGAATTATTTCTTGGTTTACTCCTTCATATTTGATATATATATTTCCAAGATGCAATATCAAAATTGACCACTAGAGAGCATTGCTCTGTATTTTTCTGTTCTGTTGATACTGCTACAGCACCACACTCAATAACTGGCAGTAACAACAGATTCTCAGAGCAAGAATAACAGCAGTCTGGCTGCCAAGAGGTAGGTAAACAGCTGGGTTCCCTTTTAAAGACAACACTCTGAGCTCTGGCTCCTCAGTGATTTTTTCTTGAATCTATCATTTTTTTCCCAACATGGCTTTTATTATCTGATTGTGCTGTATTTTCCTGTTTCTTCTTCTGCAGCATTGTGAATGGCTTTACAATTTGTAAAAATGAAACTTTTAAGTATAGAAAAGGCCTGAAAGTGAGTGGATGTTTGCTTTGGATTCACTTTTCTTGATGGTATGGAAGAAGTACAGATTGTTCTGTAATTGCCAACCAGACAAGTTTTGCAACATCCTGGGAAGCATAGAACATTCATTCTTAAAGACCGGATATGGGAACAGGATTAATACTCGTGGTCTGATCAGGCTCCTTAGTTCACCATCCTTTCACCTGGATTAGTCATAATCCTGCATGTTTTACAGCTTCTGCCCATGCAACTGTTGCAAAGGGAAGTGTGTGTTTGTACACCTGTTTCCGTGCTCTTTGCCTCCCCCCCCTTCATTTCATTGCCTCCATCTGCCAACCCTATTTTGTCCCAAGGCTCATTGCAAGAATGGATAGAGGCAGTAATTGCATTCTTGTTAGGTTTGTGTTCTTGTTTTGCTTCCGTCTGTGTAATGGTTTTACCCTCACTGCCATTTTTAGCTATAATCCTAGAGAAAGTTTAACTACAAACTCTTATTGCTCATGCTACTATATAGTGCTAATATATGGATGCCAGAAAGGGAGAAGAAGGTGGTATATTGTTTAAATTAAATAGGATAGTGTTGGACTCCAGTTTCCATCAGTCCTAGCTACCATGGCCAATGGTAAGGAGTTACCGGAGCTGTAGTCCACCAACATCTAGGTGGCCGCAGTTCATCCATCTCTGATTTAAAAGAAATAGTTGATAAATTTTATTGAATCTGAAGCAGCGTTTTTAAAGCTTCTCAAAATGTGATGCTCTTATTTATTCAGATGTCTTTCTAAAAAGTTAAATTTGTAGACCTGGTCAAATGGTGGTTGTTTCTTCTTTGGTTGAATGGGGACAAGGCTTTACGGTCCCGAGATTTCTAGTCTGCTAGAAATAGGAATCAGACTAAAGTGGTACAGATGTCATTGGACTGGATTCATGTTTTACTCCCACATAGTCAAATTCCTCAAAGTCTTTTAATGAAATGCTAATCTGTTGTAATCAGCCTGAGTGAATCAGGGATTGGTAATGTGATATAAAATCCTTTCCAGTGAAGGTCACTGGTTCACACCCTCTTTTGTAGGGTGTGGGGCAGCATAATGTGACGGTTAAAATAACCTTCCCCAAAGTGATGCCCTCCAAATATGTTGCTGGAGATTATGGGAGTTGTAATCCAAGACAGCTGGAGAGTTACAGGTCTGAGAAGCCTGGATTAGAGAGTCCAACTTTGATTGGCTAGTCAAAGCCACACTCAGCTATAAAACGGGTTGTGAAAATGGAGTAGAGAAGGCTGAGGCAAGGGAAGAACAGAAGTCTGTAATACAGATCTTGGGATTTGTAGCTAGAAAGATACCATTTCTAAACTTTGGTCTCACCTGATCTTTTTTGGTCTTTTACTGTCAAAAGGCTTCCTTGGGTGACCCATCTAGGCCCTGAGTCTCCTATTTTGGGTAGACCTGGGTGATCATTCTGTACCTCATGGCCCTCAGGTAACCAGTTTGTGATTTCCCTTTGTTTGATTCCCGTGAGACAAGAGCGGAAATTCCAAAGTTGAGGATGAGAAAGTAGTTCATTGTCCTGGTCCATTTTCATCAGCCTCATTTTGCTATGAAGCTGCTTTTCTGGAATGCCTGTCTACTTACTTATTTATTGATTGATTTGATTTCATGTCATAGAATCATAGAATAATTGAGTTGGAAGGGCACTACAAGGGCATGGAGTCCAACCCCACTGCTCAGTGTATGAATCCAAATCAAAGCAAATGGATGTCCAATTGTCTCTTGAATGTCTCCACCGTTAGATGTCTATCTTGTCTTTCCCTGATGACAGCTTTTCTCAAGATTCGGAGGCTGAATTCCTGGGGAGAGGGAAAACCCAGTGAGTCAGTCACTAAACTCCTGCCGAAATAGGAAAATATTGCGTGCCAGTCGAAGACTCATATCTAGGAGGTAGCTGGTCTAATCTCTCTCAGCAGGAGTTTCTGGGTCTAGAAGTTACTGCTGAAAAGGCTCTGCTGGGAACCATGATTTGAATCTAATTGGCAGTCCCAACTAGAGTAGATCCACCAAATTAATGTGATTTACATGTGTGTTGACTCAATGGGTTTTGACTCTGGTTGACTTTGGTTGAGATTCCCCATGAGCTTTTCAGTCACTGAAGCCTGAATACTAGTACATATTTCAAGCAAGGAAGGGGAAGACCTAGTGTTTATGGAAGTGTGACAGAATTGTAGCAAGGAAGCTACAGTTCAATGTGCCTATTGATCTCGTACATATTCCACTTTTTTCCATGGATGAGAACCTAAGCTACCATTACAGAAAATCTCTCTGAGGGCTCAATTTAATTCAGGTACAACGTATTGTTGAAACAGAGCCATTCATTTGGTGCTGTCATTCTTCTTGAATCCAACTCTTAAATTTGGTTGCATCAGGCTTATTAATGCCATACCCCTTCAATTGTGTTTCTAGGTTTGTTCACTTTGTCTTGAAAGCAGTCATTGTCAGATCCTGTCCAATTAAGTGCAGGATGCGGCTGCAGTGGACCAAATGCTTTTTATATAATGCAGAAGAGCCTGACTTATTTATCAGAAATACACACACAGCAATTTATTCTTCGCATTTGAAAGCCAATAAGAGATTCCCCCTCCCTCTACTGCTTCCACCCATCTTCAGTACAACTGAGATGAGAAATGTCAAACTCAGAGATTCCTCCTTCAGTTTCTTGGAAAATTAAATGAGGCACTGGCCTAAAAATAGACGAACAGGGGTGGCATCAGGAATATTTAGCATCAGGAATATTTACATTGCCTGTCTTTGAACAGATTGCTCTTGTGTACTTGAGAGCTTTAGTGCAGCTTCCAGCCAGCAGACACAGTGCAAGTCCTATGTATTTCCTTTGCACGCCACTCTTCCTCGATGCTTTTGCAAAATGGTGTATTTCCCAACCACTGTGACAGAATAGGATATAAAATAACAAGTGTTTCACCCATCCTGGAAGGTGCTATTGTGCACGAATTCACAGGTGGAGTAGAAACAGCTCACCCAAATGCTTACTAATTTGGAAGATAGTAAGAGAAAAAGACTTGCAAAACACTGGAGACACAAGCCTAGATCTGGTTGGTAGTTCCATCTAGAGTTAGACCCTTTGGCCAGAATCCTATTTCCAATTTATGCTTATCGAAGGAAAATGGTGGAAATCACAGCAGAAAGTTGCCACTAATTAATGAGATGCTGGTTGAGTTCCTGGGCTAATGCACAGGAACCAGCACCTTGTCAATGAGTAGCAAATTTCCACCAAGACATATCTGATTATCCTTGCACAAGAATAAAGCAGCCATTGGATTCTGGCCAGTGAATCAATTGCCAAATAGTAAATCGATACCTAGATAACACCTACAAAACCCTTCGGTTTGTATCCATTATCTGCTTGAAACAAGATATTTTAGTTGTCAGAGTGAAATGGTGGAATATAGTTGTATGAAAAATCTGTCTGTCACAGTATTTCTTTTGTTGGCTTTTGGTTTTTCTGTTGTTTAGTTTTCTGGATTTGTTAGCAACTATTGCATTTTGGTGTTTATTGTGGCAGTGAGGGTGTGGTCACACATGGAAATAGATAACAATTTGGACCACTAGTGGAGCAGTTTGATGTGATTTATTTCCTGATGATCATACGAAGCATCAGAGGGTGGATGTGCTCTGACCCAACTTTGATCTGCACCTAAGCTGGACCTTTTTGGTCTAACAGTAGGGCTTATAGTTTTGGGGGCCATGCTGGAGCAATTCCCCAGCAGATGGAAGGGTCACTTTAAGGGAGTTTGCTCCAGATCCTGAAGCTGAGGCTCCAGTACTTTGGCCATCTCATGAGAAGATAAGACTCCCTGGAAAAGACCCTGATGTTGGGAAAGTGTGAAGGCAAGAGGAGAAGGGGACGACAGAGGACGAGATGGTTGGACAGTGTCATCGAAGCTACCAACATGAATTTGACCCAACTCTGGGAGGCAGTGGAAGACAGGAGGGCCTGGCGTGCTCTGGTCCATGGGGTCACAACGAGTCAGACAGGACTTTAACGACTAAACAAAAAAACATGAAATATCCCACCTGGTCTATATTACCTTCAGAAGAACTCAAGCTTAATTGTTCTCAATGTTTGCTTTTCAAAGTATTTGACTTTTATTTATTTGTTTGTTTGTTTGTTTGTTTGTTTGGCACAGTGTATCTCCTGGCTTTGAAGGTATGAAAGAACAGGAGATCTGCAATAAAATCATGGCTCAGATGCTGGAACACTGCCATGCCCTGTTTGAATGGGAACATCCAAAGAAGGAGAACGAGATGCATCCATGTGAGGAGCTGGCGAAAATTATATTAGTAAAAGTGAGTCCTTGAACACTTGCTCTTTCTGTTTCTGAGCTGTTTTCTTGAATGTAATTACATACCACGTTGAAGGAACAGTGTGCGGTGAATATGTCAGTGGCTCTGAGTTTCTCTGCTTGAGATGGGAGAAGCTTTGAGTTGGGTGCATTTATTTGTCTTCTTTCTTTCTTCATTGTGATGTCAGCCCAAAGTGCGCAGTGCAAACATTTTCCATCAGCTCTCTCTGTGTGTGCATCAAAATGCACACATATCTTGCTATAGTCAAGAATGAACAAAGGCAAGGTCGGGGAGTGTGGAATGTATGCTTATTTATTATTTCAGTTTACTTGCTATTTGTCCTCTTGGAATCCACTCTCACCCCACTTCTTTAAAATGCAGCAAAAGGAAAATACACATAGATCTTTAAGGGAGAAAAACAACTAAGGGAGAAATTTCTAACAGAAGAACAGCTTCATAGAAAAGAGTAAAGTGATTCTCCCCATTCAGTTGTCTCTGTTTTACAGCCTCTCCATGGTAATATTTCATTAATGCAAACATGTCAGGGAAATGTTGTGCTGAACTAGTGTTATAACACACAGCATTGCTTTTGAAATGGTGGTGGGTTTGAATCATGATTAGAGATGGAGTTATTCGTATTTGAACAGGAATATCCCCACACAGGTGGCGTTAACAAGGGTCCAGCGGCCAGACAGTTCACTCACCGATTCTCTGCGGATGCAGGCGGCGCGATTCTACCCATGGATCTGCGGTGCGCGATCCACTCACCACTCACGGCAGGAGGCGGGAGGACAAGTTTTACTGCAAGGTTGAAAGTTGGCGAGCGGATCGTGCGCTGTGGATTGGTGGGTGGACTGTCCGGCCCCATGGGGCTGGACCCTCATGAATGTCGCCTGTGCAGGGATATTTGTATAGGAATACCCCCGTGTCTAATCATGAACAGTTTAATTATGGTTCTGCCAAGCACTTCAGAATCAGTATTCAGATACTGCCTTGATGATCGTAACTGGAGTCACTTTCCTATTCTTTATCTTTCTGTGAAAGACCTTGTTAAATTTCCCTCACTTCTCCCTTTCAGGCTGTACTGTCATTCCTTTTCCTGCCAGTTGTCATGATGCCCCACAACATCATGCCATCCTTTGGTAGGAAGCCCCAGCCTTGCTAAGTTGGAAAACCTGATTTGGTTGTGAGGGCCTTTTCCATCCCAGCCCACTTGATCAGCACCCCCTTGACCTTCGACCGAATCCTTTCAGTTTAGGCACCTGAACTTTTTCCCTACAATGTTAAATCCTAACAGTTTTAGGAAAAGTAGCCATTTTAGTTTTCAGAGACATTTACAGAAAGCTCACACTGAAATACATTTGCAACACAGCACTTGTGCTTTTGAGTATGTTTTTGTTGTCCATTTCCAAGCTGTGTGTCTTTTCGAACGTTTTTCGGATAGGAATTGGGAATTGCAATAGCACAGCTTATTGCTCTCCCCTCAATAACATGGTGTGCCTTTATAAGGTTGGATGCCTCTGCAGTTGCATTGTGTGGGGTTGCCCAACCTGGTGTGCCCCAGGATAACAATCCAGTTTACTTATGAGACCCTGTGAGGACTATATTGCAAATAGAGATTAGAACTTTGTATTTGTATCCCTGAATATGAAGCGTGGTACCACAAGTGTCATGGAGGTCCATTCCCTCCCCTGTCAACCAGCCCAGTCCACTCACCAGGTGCTGTGCAGCCTGCAAGTCCAGTTGGAAGCAACATCATGCCAATCGAGGAAGTGGCCTGACTGGCTCATCCTTGTCGGATGGAGAAGCAGGGCAGAGCTGGTTGGGCTACTTCTGTGACTGGCATGATGTCACCACCATTAGATACATGCATTGTGAAGAGCTTGGTGTTTGGACTGGGCACTGCAGATGGTGACAGCAGCTACGAAATTAAAAGATGCCTGCTTCTTGGGAGGAAAGCGATGACAAACCTTGACAGCATCTTAAAAAGCAGAGACATCACCTTGCCAACTTAAGTCCAAATAGTCAAAGCTATGGTTTTTCCTGTAGTGAGGACTGCAAGGAGAACAAACCTATTCATTCTAAAGGAAATCAACCCTGAGCGCTCACTGGAAGGAGAGATCCTGAAGCTGAAGCTCCAATACTTTGGCCATCTCATGTGAAGAGAAGACTCCCTGGAAAAGACCTTGATGTTGGGAAAGTGTGAAGGCAGGAGGAGAAGGGGATGACAGAGGATGAGATGGTTGGACAATGTCATCAAAGTGACCAACATGAATTTGAGCCAACTCCGGGAGGCAGTGGAAGACAGGAGGACCTGGCGTGCTCTGGTCTATGGGGTCATGAAGAGTCGGACATGACTAAAGGACTAAACAAATTATGTGGGGAGGGAATGGACCTCTGTGGCACCTGTGGTGTTGTGCTTCATATCCGTGCTCCCAAGAATATGAATACGAAGCTCTCATCTCTATTTGCAAATAGTTTGCTCTCATCTCTAATTGCAAATAGTTGCCCTCTATCTATCAAGGTCTCCCTTGTGTATCTGACCTTTCACAGATTTCTTAACCAGAATAAAACTGGGTACCTGAAGGAAATACTTGCAAAGTCGCACAGAGAGGTGCCTCTAGGAAGGGAAAAAATTACTGATGTCATTGCCCTTCCACATGTGCTTTTTCTTCAGTTGGATTTTGGTCCACGTGTTTTTTGAGCAGCAGTCACCAGAAGGCCTGGCTATTAGCCCTGCTGGCTAGGCGTGTAAGTGTTATTTGCCTACCTATATCCCTCCCTAGCTGGCATGGTTTCTCCTCCGCTAGACTAAAGTTCATGCCAGCAGGTTTAAAGTAGTAAACATGGGTGGTATAAATGGAACAGGGCATGTGAAGGCATCTCTAACATCTTGATTGTTTTTTAGTTCAAGAGAACATTTTCTTCTCACACATCACTTTGTACTACAGTGAGCAGATGGGTATGTTTTTGTGTACCTACTAGAAACATAAAAGGAAAAAAATCTGTTTGTGCCAGGAAGGCATTTTTAAATGAGTAAGGATGGGGTGAATAATGCAGTATTTTATGGATGGATGTTTGCCACTTCATGGGTTTTTCACCTTTGGTATCCTTTTTAACTGCCAGGGAGGGGGAGTCTTGCCACTTTGCAGGCCAAGCTCCTCATCTGAAATCTCTTTCTAACAAGGTGGTACCTCTATATTAGCTGTTCCCAGTGTGTCAGTCAATAGACCATGGTCTTTATTCATAGAGAACGCTAAGCTGGGATTTCTGAGGATCCTGGCTAATAGATCATGAGAAACCATGATTCTCCAAGGGAAGAACAGCAATTCCTGTTTCACATGCGAAAGGAGCAGTTCCCAAGCTATTTCACACGGTGCCTCTCTTTTTTGGTTTTTGAGAAACCCACGTGTCTCCACACCTCTCCTTTTCCATCACCTCTTCAGCAAAAAATAAAATAAAAATCAATCCATGATTTAACATAGAAAATAAACACAAAGCTATACAGTGGGGTCTCTACTTAAGAACGTCCCTACTTAAGAACAATTCCACTTAAGAACAGCTCCATTTGCTAAATTTTGCTTCTACTTGAGAACAAAAATCCAAGATAAGAACAGGAAAAAAAAACTTTCCTGCTCTTTTTTTAACCTTAGGTCATCTTAGGTTAAAAAAAAGTTCTCCCCCTAGTGGTAGAGTACGTATTAACCAGCTTTGCATTAGTTCCTATGGGAACGAATGCTTCAATGTACGAACGCACCTCTACATAACAAAAAAAACAGCCAGAACAGATTAATTGGTTTTCAGTCCATTGCTTCAAAATTAGCTTCGTCAGAAGTGCTTTTAACACTGTTCCCTGACCTAAGGGGAAAAAAAGAAAAAATATCCCCCTCTAGTGGTAGAAGGCGGAATAGCAGCTTCCCATTAGTTTCTATGGATGGAAAAGAGCAGATACAGATTAAATGGTTTCAATGCATTCCTATGGGAAATGCAGATTCTACATAAGAACTTTTCCACTTGAGAACCACCTTCCAATACGGATTAAGTTCTTAAGTAGAGACCCCACTGTAGTCTTAAAAAGTTATTTAAGTAAGTAAATAAGCAAGCAAGTAAGTAATTTGTATACTGCCTGATTTAGCAGTTTGCATTACCCTGGGTGGTTAACAATAGTATGAATTGATTTGAGCTAGAACCTGATTTTTTTTTTCTAATTATTTAACCTGATTTTTAAAAAAATAGGAAAATGTTGAAGTCCCACAGATATACTCTTAGAATTTCTTCATAACTTCATAACTTGGGAACCAGTGAGATCAGTCTCTTGATGGGGCATAGAAGCTAACTTCTGAAATGAATCCTGACATGTTGGTCCTCTAATAAGACAGGATTTGTAAGTCTGCTTCAAACCTTGGCTTTAAACTCTGGTTTAAGAAGCAAACTAGGAATCTGAGTCTGGAGGTAACTCAGCTGTTTTACTCTGACAGATTTCTGGTTATTAAGTGGCTTCCACTTGCAGGGGGAGCCAAGGAGAAACAACGAGGCAGCAATGTGCTGCCATCCTGCTTGTTACGAAGAATTCTGGCATAGCATTTTGTGGACAGTTCTGGTGACTATGGCCCATACAGGGGGCACCTTTCCCCACAACTGCAGTGGGATCTTTATTTACTCAGAGCGTGGAGTGCAATTCTGGGTATACAGCAAAATAACTGTCATGTTTTGGAAACTTGCTTTAAGCTGTTTTTTCTCATTCTGCTTTCCTGATCAATAGTCAACCATGGTTATCTCACTTGTTGGTGTAGCAATAAACCATAGTTGAGTTTCCTTAACCATGATTTGGAGTGACTACTGAATTTAGCTATTATAGCAATGGCGCACAAACTCTTTAGCCAGCTTGCTCAGATCTTTTCCATGATCTGCTACCTGATCCTTGTTTTTTAAATAGAGATGCCAGAGATTTAACCTATGACCTTCTGCTTGCAAAAGTGTACATCTGAGACACAGTTGATCCTTGCATACTCCCAATCTCTCTGTCTGGTTAAACTTAGTACATTCTGAAAAACAGTAAAAATTGAGAATCTGTTATGTAAATCCAAGATAAATTTACATGGATTTTGCTTAAGTGGCATATTTCTAAACGAGTTGCTTTTTGGAGTACATTTTAGCATAGGATATTCACAGACAACAGTGATGCAAAAGTTAAATTAAAGAAATCACGCTTAGAAATTATGTATTATTCCCATTTTTCATCCATTGCCATTTTGGATTTTTCTCATTTTTAATTCAGTTTTTAATTCATACTATCATAAGCAATGGCAAGAAACAACAGACAGCTAATTCAGATTATAAAGTTAACAAATATCAACTTGTGGGCAGTGGTTACTAAAACCACTCAGAATGACAATGTCCGGGGAAGCACATTGTTGAGATCGGCATGTCTTTCCACAAATTGGTATGGCTGATTGCAAAAGAAATGTCTAAGTTTAAAAAAGCTTTAAAATTGAATATTTTAATGTAATGGAATATTCCTTCCTAACCTTATCAGATAAGTGTAAATGTATCTCCAGTACATAGTTTATAGCAGTTTGATTCCACTAATCGTCATGGCTTCATCCGCAGAACCTTGGGGTTATTCGTTTGGTGAAGCATTTAGAATTCTTCCAGAGAGTTCTAATTAGCCCTTTTGAACTAGTACACTCCAGCTCTCCAGCAGAGTCTTCTAAGTACCTCTCCAGACTACAAATCCCATAAAATGGATCTGTGATAATTAAAGTGATAGCTGAGTATGATAGTGAGCAGTGTAGATGTGCTTCATTTTTTCATTAATGGCAGATTCCCATAACCATCAACATTTAATACAATTTTTTGTCATTATTATTCCCCCACAAGATTTATTTCCAATTAAGCAGCAGCAATACAGGAAAAGATATATAATAGTGTTTGGTGAAGCAAGTGCACTGTGTTAATTGCTTATCATATCTCTTCACAGGAGGCCAACTTCAACCAGGCTGTGCCAATTGTTCTGACGAGTGTTGAAAAAGAAGCACCAAAATTAAGTCCAAGAAATAAGGTAGGAGGAAGTGGGTGTATCGGTCATTCCTTTTTCTGTGACTGTTTTCGTTTGATTGAATGTCCCATCCTCTATTGATGGGGAACCTTTGGCCTTCCAGACATTTTGAACTTTGATTCCCAGAAACCACCTTTCTTTTTCTTTTTCTTCTTTTTGAGTTTTGCCATCTTGGAAACATGCTGGTTAGAATTAACTCTAATAGTTGTATTATATATGTTTATTTTAATGTGTTTTAACCTATGTAAGCTGCCCCGAGTAGACGTAGTCTAGAGGGGCGGGGTAAAAATCAAATAAATAAATAAATAAATTCATAAGGTAAGGATTTGTGGGATTTGTAGTCCAAAATATCAGCAGGGATGGATTTCTCCACATTTTGCTGTCCATGTACGCTTCCTTCTGTCAGCCTTAGGACTGTGCTCTTGAAGTGTGTTTCATTTCATGTTGGCAGACTAGGATGGGTCTCAAATCCACTGCGGGTATATCCAGCATTCCTATCTCCAGACTGAAGAAGTTAACGTTCTCTATGTATGGAGTCTAAAGTTAAGAATCATGATTTTCCAGAGTTTATGATCACATGGAAAGTCTCCAGACAAAGCAGAGGCTCTTCTCTTACACAAAGATCTCACTGTTTAAACCTTCAACTTTTCTCCTCCTCACCTGAATAGAGAGCTGAGGACCAGAAAGATGTCAGTGTTAAGATTGAGCTCCCCATCCTCTGAGAAGGGAATACAGTGGTGCCTCGCTTAACGGTGATAATCTGTTCCAGGAAAATAGCTGTTAAGCGAAAACGTAAAGCGAAAATAAAAAGCCCATTGAAACGCATTGAAAACCGTTCAGTGCGTTCCAATGGGCAAAAAACTCACCGTCCAGCAAAGATCCTCCATACAGCAGCCATTTTCAGTGCCTGTATAGCGAGGAATACGTCCCTAAACACAGCGGGGAGCCATTTTAATTCCCCGGCAGCCATTTTGAAACCGCCGATCAGCTGTTAAAAAAACATCGTTTTGCGAAGAATCGGTTCCCGAAGCAGGGAACCTATCATCGCAAAGCAAAAAAACCCTATTTAGACTATCGTTTTGTGATCGCAAAAGCGATTGTAAAAACGTTGTCGTGAAGCGGATTCGTTGTAATGCGGGGTAATTGTAAAGCGGGGCACGACTGTACCATACATTTGGAAAGAGGTATTGGTGTGGCAGAAGGAATTCTCCTTAGAAGTGCAATCGAGAGATCCCCATGGCCCAGAAGGTTCATTCCCAAAGGAGCTCATTTTGCCTAAACCTCTCTGGCCTGAAAAGGTTGCATTGTCTTCAGCTTTGATGACTCCAACCCCAACTCAGAGACAGAGCAGTCTTCTTGCAGTATCAGTGCCAGTGGTAGGCAAGCCTCTTCTAACTGAGACTTCTCTCACTGGAGCAGGGCTACCTATACAAATTGAGCGGTGGCTCTGTGATCAGTCTGAGTTTACTTGAGGGGGTGGGGCCTTTGTGTGGCCCTCTGGATAGTGTTGAACTGCAACTGCCATCAGCCTTTAGCTCATACTAGCTAATAAGGGTTGTTGCAGACCAACAAGATCTCCAGAATCACAGATTGACCACACCAGGTTATCGTGAAATAATGTTTGAACATTGCTCCTGTGAGTCTCCCTGTTGAGCGCCTCCATGGAACCATCCATCGTCAACTCTTGCCTTGAATTAATCTTCCCTGTGTTGCTGTCCTGGTGTCTGGTCTTTGCCTTGCTTCGCCTTACCCGAATGTGTCTTGACAAAACCTGGACCTTCCCCTCGTAGCTTTGCCTGATTCCCCATTGCAATTTTTTCCCCGTTCAGAACTATGATGCTGTTGTAGACCTTCATTCATCAATTCATTTTGCCTATAGGCTGTTTTTCTTCCCAAAAGGGGAGGGGGGACTCAAGGCAGCTAAAAATACTTAGAAAACAGAAAACAGCTAAAAATACGACAAATCCAAATGCTAGAAAGCAATTAAAACATACTACATAGTAAAACAATAACAGAATAAAAATCATTTTAAAGGATCTACAAAAGGCGTTTAAAAAGTACAACATTGCTTATTAACACAATTTCCTTTGGAACTAATTATTGGCCGAAAGCTTGTTTTTACATAAAGGTCTTAACTTGCATAAAGGTCCCCTTAAGGAGGGGAACAGCAGGGAGTTTACAGGTTGGGAGCAACTGTTAGTAAGGCCCTCTCTAGTGTCCTCACCAGGCATGCTGGCGCTGTCACTGCTGCCAAGAGATTGACGTCCTCTCCACGTCTTAAGCCCTTGGCCATCTCATAAGGGGAGATGCAGTACTTTGGATATGCTCGACTCAAGTTCTTTAGGGCTTTGTAGGTTAAAACCAGTGCTCAAAATTGTCAAATATTTTTGGAGTGCGCTGAAGAAAATAGAGTTACAATCAGTCTCCAAGGTCCTCGCAGAGAAGAAAACATGAGACAACAGCTTCTTCTTTAAAGCTTATACAATATTACACACGTACAGTCTTCATAAATACCCCAACAGCATGTCCTGTAGCAACTCTCCAATTTTCCACCACACATGTGTGTTCCTATGCACACTATCATAGGAACTATCATCCTAGGTGATCACATAATAATTACATCAGCCTTCTGCCTGGTCAGCATGACTCGGCTTTATACACAGCTGTACAACATGGCTGATTAACAACTTCCTTTATACATTCAGTCTAAGATGTTAATTTCTTCTATTTCTTCTAAAGAAGAAATTAATTATAAAGAAGAATTGTTGTAATTTCCTGACAAGAATTGTCACCAGAACTGGAGCAGTAGCTGGAGAAGTTGTCATGTTGTGCAATTTCTGTTAAAGGGCCAGACAAGTTGGTA